ATCTTGTTATTTAGGTGTTTTACATTGAAACTGAAAAACTGCTAATCAATTTTTAAATTTGCTAATCAAATTTGGCCAAATTGGACTTTTTGATTAGCAGTGCTGCTAATCAACTGTGAAAAATTACCGACAGCCCTGATCTCAGCGTTATTAGTTACGCTCTCGTGGCTGTTGTAACCATAAAATAGAAATGAACACATGTTAGTCTCAAAGTAACTGAAGTATTAGTATTGTGTTGACATTCTATTCTGCTGTAAAGGAGCTAACTGAATATTTTCACAAAGAATTCAATATTTCTCCATTTCAATCAATATTGATTGTGTTATCTTTCTTTGCAATATGGAATCCTAATATCCAATATGTAAGATGCGATGAACATTTTATGATCAGTCATGTATTCTATGGTTGTAGGCGCAATTTGTAATAAACAAAGACAGTGGGGAAGTAATTAGTAATGGCTGATTCACAAACAACAAAATAATAATTTAAAAAAAACATGTAGAATGGATTAAAGATACATTATGGGATATTCGATAACGAGTTGGCAGTTTTCACTATAATAGTTAAAAACTAGATAATGTAAAGGCAATTTCCTGTAAATTTCATTCAAATTGATCCACTATGAACCGAGAACTAAGCAATTGAAATTTTTGCCTAGCCTTGATCATCATTACTAAAGTCAGTACGATAAACAGCATAGTCTGGATCATCCATTTAATTGTTAAATCGTGAATGAAAGTTATGCAGTAGATCAGCTCATAATCCACTTAAGATTGATTATGGTCTTGACAGGTTAATTAATGTCTAATTAATAGTTTATATAACATTTCAGACCTAAAGAAAGACCTGTAATCGGCAAATTTAGCTCTTGCATAATGTTTGTTTAAGCAGGCATAAATAAATGTCATTCAATTTAGACTATTCACATATTTCACCAAACATAACCGATTAGAAATTACAATAAATATTTTAAAAATTAAATATAAATCACTTTATATACAATCATGTTCCATTAATATATGTGATCTGTGCTGGCAAACTTGAGTCGCATATTCACATTTCTACAAATAAGACAAAACGAGATATCAAATGATCACCGCTTGGATTAATTATTTGGAATAATGGTTTGTCGATGGCCTTATCATTGGTAATTATCAATCAACTGATCATTAATCCGTGACAATTGATTAGTATTACTCAATGACACGATCCGCTTGTTGATTAATTTACAGTAGCGATATTCTGTCACATGGTTTTGGTTAACAATCGATCGCAATCTAGACATGATCAGAATTTTAGGCTTTTTTCTGCCTCGAGACAACCATGATACCATAGTGCTTTGCACGAGGGGTCTGGGCCAATCGGCAAACCAATTGTGTGGACTGAATAGCAACAGACAGGGATTTTTTATGTTTTGTAGGGGTTTTAAAACTCGCATATATTCCTTTAAAATGAATTCATCAGTAATACTTTGCTCATATTTATGGACTGCGAGCGGAGAAAAATAACTAATTTCGCTGAGAATTTTAAGAAAAAAGACAGATTTATGAATTCGGTACTCTTACAAAATGTCCAAAGAAAGGTGTTTTTTCTGTATCTCATAATTCCAGCACTAGTTACATATGCTTTTAGACCCATTTTTATACACCCACATTGAAATGTGGTCGTATATTGTCGTTGCCCCCGTCTGTCCGCATTTGTGGACGCTCTAGAGGCTAAAGTTAATGTTAAACCCAGTGTTAAAGGTCATGAGACAAAGAATCCTATTGATTTTCAGCGATTTCCGATGATTACTGTCAGAGTTATGGCCCTTGATCACTTCAAAATATCTTGTGGACGCTCTAGAGGCTAAAGTGAATATCCAATTGACTTTAGATTTATACACAGTGTTTAAGGTCATGAGACAAAGAAGCCTATTGATTTTCAGCAATTTCCAACAAATACTGCCAGAGTTATGGCCCTTGATCATTTCAAAACGCTCTAGAGGCTAAAGTTAATATCCGATTGACTTTAAATTTATACACAGTGTTTAAGGTTATGAGACAAAGAAGCCTATTGCTTTTGAGCGATTTCGGATAATTACAGCCAGAGTTATGGCCCTTGATCAATTCAAAAAATCTTGTGGACACTCTAGAGGCTATAGTGAATATCCGATTGACTTTAGATTTATACACAGTGTTTACGGTCATGAAACAAAGAAGCCTATTGATTTTCAGCAATTTCCAACCAATACTGCCAGAGTTATGGCCCTTGATCATTTCAAAAATCTTGTGAACGCTCTAGAGGTTAAAGTTAATATTCGATTAACTTTAGATTTGTACACAGTGTTTAAGGTCATGAGACGAAGAATCCTATTGATTTTCAACAATTTCCAATAATTACTGTCAGAGTTACTGCACTTGATCACATTGAAAAATCTTGTGGATGCTCTAGAGGCTAAAGTTAATATCCAATTGACTTTAAATTTATACGCAGTGTTTGAGGTCATGAGACGAAGAATCCTATTGATTTTCAACGATTTCCGATAATTACTGTCAAAGTTATGGCCCTTGATCACTTTGAAAAATCTTGTGACGCTCTAGAGGCTAAAGTTATCATCCGATTGACTTCAGATTGATACACATAGTTTAAGGTCTTGAGCCACACAAGTATATTGATTTTCAATGAAAATTAATAACTTGAACAGCTAAATCCATGATATTAAATGTTTTGTATAGTAAAGTTAGCATGGGGTAGAACTTTATAAAAACCAAACAAATTCTAATGATGATAATTATTTGATCAGTTGTTACTCTTAATCAGATTTAAGTGTATTATAAATGTTCCATTACCGAAAAAAGTAAAAATATGCGGCAACTCTTGTTGACTGCTCAGACGATTCAGCTGCTGCGGGCGTATGTTTTGTTGCCTGGCAACGTATCTTTGTATTTGTTAGGGTTCTTGCTTGATGAGTGATGACCTTCACTCTGTTCTTTTTTTTTAATGTCATTTCAATCTTTAAAATGTATTATATTAATAGAAGGTCATTTTTGACAACAAGACATTCTAACTAGTGTGTGAGTATGAGAAGAAGCTTAGCAATATAACATATAAAATAATAATCCACACTTGTCTTTGAACCTAGTTGTATGAAACATAATAGAAATGTAGGATGGCTAATTTCTAGACTCTTTTCACTGTTACATGTTTTACAAGGCGTGAGAATGAATGAACAAGAAAATCAAGTAGCACAAGAGGTCAAAAGTTTGATTTTAATCTGATAAATGCTATAATACGCCATACCTACAGGAATCAAGTGCAGCTTACTGAAACAGTTGATAGATGTAGTAGGAAGCATCGAAGGTTCTTTGATTATTCTATCGTCATAGAAAATTGTTACCTGAAGTTAAAGTAATAGCCATTAAGCATTATTGTTAATAAATACAAGTTTACTTTGAACTATAACCTTAATGATTAGTGAGCAAGCATTTGTTCTTGTTGATAGAGTTAATGGACAATAATAACCTCAAGGTTTGCCCATGTACAAAAATAAAATATGATAGAAAAACATGCATAACGAATCTTTAATTTGACCACAGTATTAAGTTCTTTTATCAAATTAAAATGCAGCTTTTGAAACAGATATATTAATTCTTATAAGCTATTTGCAATTGTGCTATATTTTACATTATAGATATATTATGTAATGAATCTTTAATTTGACCACAATATTGAAACAAAAAAGTTAAGTATTTTTATCAAATTAAAACCCGGTTTTAGTAACTGACATAATTGTGCTGTATTTTTTACTTTATAGTTTAATTCATCGCTTGAATTATTTTAGAAAGAAATATTTTCCAGGCTTTTAGTGTTTTTTAAACCCACAAAACTTTTTTTATTGAATTAATTAACACTGGAAAGTTTCTAAAAGGTTAAATATGACACGAAATTTACATTTCTAACTCGACTTCCCCCGCAAATTTGCTTTATGATTTAACTTGTTTTTAATGCTTGGTTGAAAGATTGTGCTATAAAGTTTGCCAGGATCAATATGAACGGTAGAAAATAATCTTATAATTATTCAGTCGATTGTAGCTTTTTATATGTTATATTACTATTGCTCTGGATTGAAATAGCTCAGTAATAGTTTCAATAGAATACTTAATAAACTAAAATGGATATTGATAAACTTTAGATCGTTTATTTTCTCGTAAATAGATCATTTCATGATTACCTTCTCTCTCTTGGAATAAAACCGGATAGGATCATCCTGTTGGAAATTTGATTGTAATAAAACCGAATACGATTCTCCTAACAGACAATTGACTGTTGCCTACTGTTTAAAAACTCAGTAAGATCATACTAGATGGTTTCAGACACTTTATTGTAATTAAACTCAATAAGATCATTCTAATAGAAAATTGACATTTTTTTTACACTGGATTGTAATAAAACCCAATAGAATTCCCCTGACAGAAGTTTGACGGTTCCTACTCTGGATTGTAACAAAACCCAATAAGATCCTCCTGACAGAAATTTGACGGTTTCCTACACTGGGTTGTAATAAAACCTAATTGGAACCTCCTGTAAGAGATTTGACGGTTTCTTACACTCGATTGTAATAAAACCCAATAAGATTCTCCTGACAGAAATTTGACGGTGACTACATTCGATTGCAATAAAACCCAATAGAATCCTCCTGACAGAAATTTGCTAGAATCCACTGAATACATAGATTTTTTATAGAGGAAGGTTTCATTCATTTAACTGTACATTGATGTAATTTATTTTCTAATATTGAGCAGTGAGATTTTGTTTGATTTTTAAAATTTTGGCAGGAATCATCAAAAATTCAGATATTTAAGTCTCCAAGAATCTTCACAGGAGGTGGAGGAATTCAAATAAATGCCAAAATTATCCCAAAATCAAAACCAATATTTCTCTCCCATTCACATTCATTTACAGTGCTGTTTATCAGTGTTAAAATGTCAGTCATTAACCTCACTCTCTCTCTCTTTTAGGAGTTGTGGTGAATATTGTTTTGAAAGAACTTCTATGTACAAGGTGAGTTTCAGTTATTTAAAGTCTATATGTGTCATCTTGGCGCATTATGGATCCCCTGCAAACTACAATATTGTGAGAGATGAAATTCTAGTTGGAATATCAATCAGTTCAGTATATTTACAGAGATATGTTGAATCTATAGGTTTGTTCTCACTTTCCCAGCAGATTAACCTTACTAATTAAGCGGATTAGGGATTATTAATAGATTAGTGAGTTATACTCTGTTTTAATTATTGCATGAACAGTTCAATTTAACCTAGTTTATGATAATTATAAGTTAAGTGTTAAGGCAAGAAGAGGGGCCACCACTCTCTGGAGGTGTACTGTTCGTGAATGCCCTGCTACTTGCAATACCAGGAATGACCTGGTTACTACCTACAGAAACATCCATAATCATCAAGCTGATCCAGCCAAATTATAAGTTGACATGTTTTTATCAGCAATTAAAGAATCGGTTAAAGCAGATTTTAAGCCAATTCCAGCAGTTTACCAAGAAGAAATTAACAATATGGAAATGGAGTCGTTTCACATCCAAAGAAAAGAAAATACATAGAATTAAACAGAAGAATACATGATGAAAAACAGAGATTATTAACTGGTTTGACGACTTTATATGAATACGGAAATTCGATATCACATTTAGTTGGATTTTAAATACATGTATACATGTACAATACTAAATTTGTTAAAGTAGTTAATATTGATATGAAAAATATATATGTACATGCTAAATTTGTTAATAAAATAACTTTTATGTAAAGTGGTTAATATTGATATGAAAAAGACTATAGTTTTAACACCATTGTTACCCTAATTAGTACTGGTCCAATGATTTTACCTGGAAAACAATAGCTGCTGCGAAAGTGAGAACACCCCGAATCTATGATGCTCACTATTTAAAAAGCCTGCCACCATTACAGCATTGATAAGTCTATCCAAGCCTGGAGGTTTTCTAGCATTTGTATTTTGAAATTGTTTTTTTAATGAAATGTTAGATACATTAGCATAGATTAGGTCATGTGGAATTTGATATTTTAGCGAAAAATGCAATTGATAAATTGTTACTTTAATGATGGACCAAATATAGAATCTGTCTGATCTGAGATAACCAGAATGGTCATAGTACATATGTTATAGCTAATTTCAGTGGTTGACGGATTCTATAAAGCCTAGCCCTTTGATGTTTGAGGGGGTGGGGAAGGCAGTGTTTTTCAAATGGCTGCAAGGAAAAAAGGATCGTTGGAGATTAATAGCTTCAAACAGATATTTAATCACTCTGTCAATGTTAATGTCAATTTTCACAACAATAATTCATTGTGTAAATACACACCATAATGGCTTGCAATACTTGAGGTTATAAACATGTAGGCATTAAAAAATATGGCAGTTGTTATGTCTGGTAGTAGAAGTATTAAAGAATTATAGGGGTATTTATTACATTTTTTTATACGCCCACATTTTCATGTGGACGAATAATGTTGTCTCCCCTGTCCGTCCGAGCATCCATCTGGACGTCCATCCACAATTTGTTTGTGGACACTCTACAGGTCACAATTCTTATCTGATTTTGACGAAACTTGAAATATAGGTATATCTCCAGAAGATCTTGGATCCTTTCGATATTGGCATGTATGGGATATAAACTTCATGGATTATGGTCCCTGATTGTACGAAAAATCATGTTTTTAGCTTGTGGACACTCTACCGGTCAAAATTTTTATCCAATTTAGATGAAACTTGAAATGTATGTTTATAACCGCAACTTCCTGGATTATGTACGTAAAAATTGCATTTTTATCTTGTTATAACAATTTTTATCAGATTTAAAAAAAAAACGTTATACCATAATAATAAATGAGTTTGAATTTTGTGAAAATTGGACCAAAATTGACCACTCCCTGTATGCAAATAGTGTTAAGTATGTAATATCAAGGTTGTGGACCCTCTAGAGCTCATAATTTTTTATCCGAATTTGATGAAACTTAAAACATGTATTTATATCACAAAGATCTCAGTTTGTATCAGATTGTAATTTCCTGGATTATGGCCCCTGATTTTATGTAAAATTCCCTTTTTTTTTTTTTAAGCTTCTTCTCTGTCCATCTCTTACAAAATGTGGGCATATCTTGCCTGACAACCGCTGGTTTAAAAAAAAAAACAAAAAAAACAACAGAGGCCGACCAGGTGTTTTATTTCAAATAGATTTTAAGATGAATTACTCTACACACCTGCTTGGATCTGGTTGTCAAGTTAGTGATCAATTATAATTGAATTTTGAGAAGAAATGCTCTGGCCTACCACCCACCCCTCATTTGCATTTAAAATGAACTTTACAAGAAAAGTAACAAATTTTATTGATTTATGTTTTTCAGGAGAAGGCCGGACCTAAATTAGACTCTGAGAAATTGTGTATTCGAGGAGATGAAATTAAAAATTTAAACAGTTTGAATGAAAAAGTTTATTTATAGTGGTGTACTGTAAGTCATTTACATATATGGGTAAATTTAGTTAAAGGTGCATTATGTAAGCACTAAAACTGCCTCGTGCAGATCTTTATTTTGGCCTCAAATGTTATATAAACTATTATTTAAACATAATTTCTTCACATGGACAAACCCATGATAAACTCTTTAGAACCTTGGATGGTTTGATTTTCAACGGATTTAAACCACAATTGCCAGTTAATAATTTAATTAAAGATACATTATGGGAGATAAGATAAAGAGCTGGCAGTTCTCACCAAAATAGTTAAAAACTAGATAATGTAAAGGCAATTTGCTGAACATTTCAGTAAAATTGATCCACTATAAACCGAGAATTAAGTGATTGAAATTTCGGCGTAGCTTTGATCATCATTACTAAAGTCTGTACGATAAAAAACAGTCTCAATCATCCATTTCATGATTAAATTATGAATGGAAGTCGAGCAGCAAATGGGATCATAATCCAGTAAATATTGCAGGCTAGCGATGCCATCGAGAGTTGATTATGGTCTGGATAAGTTAATTAATGTCTAATTAATAATTTAGATAACATTTCAGACCTAAAGAAAGACCAGCAATTGGCAGATTTAGCTCTTGCATAATGTATGTTTAAAAAATTGATAATTGAGACTTTGTTTATTACAGTAACAACAGTAATAATAACTATCAAGACTTCACTGTTCTTCAAATGGTCGTTACTCTGCTCAGAATGAAGTAATTTGACAGAAATATTCAACATATTCCCTTTTCATTATATATTTTGTAACTATTATAGCGAGAACGACCAGCTTTTTATCCAAAACTTACATAATGCAGTTTTAATACACAGTATTATGACTTCTGTGTTTTCTGGGTATATTGGGTTATATGCCTCACATGCCAAACAGAACAACTGGACAATATTTATGAAACCTACAATCCTTCAGAAACATACGAAATAGTAATTAAATTTTGAATTCCTTGTCAGCATTATGCAAATGTGGTCTTTTATTGCCGTTGCCCACGTCTGTCCATCCGTCCACAATTTCTTGTGAACACTCTAGCTACAGGCTACATTTATCATTTTATTGTTTTGAAATTTATATATGTTGTTTACATTAGTGAGATAAAGAACTCTATTTAATTTCAATAATTTCCATTAATTTCTTCTGGAGTTATGACCCTTGTTTCACTTTGGTGCTCCTCGTGAAACAAAAAAGCCTATTGAATTTCATCAGTTTCTGTCAATTACTTCTAGTGTTATGACCCTTGTTTCACTTTGAGAACACTCAAACGATAAAAGTTATCATCCGATCTGTATGAAATTTGTATGCATAATTTAAATGAGTGAAACAAAGAATCCTATTGAATTTCAGCAATTTCCGTTAATTACTTCTAGATTTATTACCCTTGTTTCACTTTGTTGAACCTTGTGATGGCCAAAAGTTATCATCAGATCTGTATGAAATTTATATACATAATGTTGTCGGCTCGGTGACAAGCTCTCGTAACTACATTTGACCCACTTTTCAGAAGATAAAAAAAAACGTATCTGTCAAAAGTAATTTAACACAAAGATGTCTCTGATAAGACTGTTCGTAGTAAATAAAGAACGCATAGCAGTTAATTTTTATCGGGAAGTGCTGTTTACATATTGATTACCCGAATTACACTTACGACAATTTGATTCCCAAAAGTCAACATATCTGGGTACTTACAACATTTTAACCCGCAAAAAACAACAGTTTCAAAAAATAAAACATCTCATATTATAATTGACAATAAAATAACGTTTGTAGGCAGTTTTCACTAACTCTAATGAAAGTCTTTCATGCGTGTTGAAGAGTGTCATAAAAGGAATGGTAGTCTGGTGGAATGACGGCTTTGATATCTTGAAAATGGGAAAATTTTGTAGTTTTTATAATAATTGGGTGATCATGAAGTCTGTTGGGCTAAATGTCTTGTGCCTCTATCTGCATGATTTTTGCCTTCCTGGGGAGATCGTGAAGGACGTTGTCAAACACAAGCTGATATTTTATATCACACGCTAATTTTGTCATAAAGTATAGAGCGCTGGCTTGGAGCTTTGGACACAGTAAAACTGACTGTTAATCCAAAGTTACAACTCTATAAGAACTATCGTTCTCACCTCTTTCCTTGTCTTTTACTTTTTCATTCCTGGCAGCTTCTTTTCTAGTAATATGTAGATCATACTCTTCTTGTGAAATGTTTCCAGCTTGATATCTGCAGCACACGTCGCACTGATCTTTCTTTGGGGAGAATATTTCTAAATTCAGTTCATTGAAAACTTCTTTTATTAGGGAGTATGACGCTGCTGGCACATCCGTTTCAATTCGATAACATTTGTAAGCTGTAACCAGTCCGGTGATAGAGTTGAATATGGGCTCCAGGTATTGTTTATTACTGGACGATCTACAATAATGGGACTCCATTTTTGGCAAACACTCGAGATATTGTTTGATGTTCTCTCAGAGATTTTTATCACAAGCTCTTCAGGCTGTTATCTTATTGATTGTATCAACTTTATTGGGAATTCCATTCGAGGTATCTTTCAACCAGCCGTAAACCGTTTTCTCTCCGATTCCTAGGGTGGATAAAAACATGTTTTTGCAAACACAAAGGCGTTCTCCTTTTTTACGAAGAAAATACTCGTGGCTAACATTTCGCCTACTGTTTCCTTCTGCTGTCTTTCTTCCTACAGCCCCAGATGTATTAGAGAATTAACATAAACCTTCCTCTGGTTCCAATCTAACCTATCCCAGAATCTTAAAAATATTTCCCGTCTCTCTTCTTCTGAAAATTAATCTTTGAGCTATCACACTTTTTAGGACAACCCCTGGGTGTTAAAAGTTGTTCTTTTTTATCAACACAGTAAACCCATTTACCATCATCTGCTTGCTTCTTTAAACCTTTATAACTATTATCTTCCATTCTTCGTCTCTTTTGGATATTTTTCTACCAATTGCCAATACTGATGCGTCTCTTTTTTTCTTTGAGGTCCGGTATCCATTACCTGTTTGTGATCAATAGGTATCTCTTCTAATATAGGTGCAGGTGCATTATCCACATCTGAATCTGTTGACGAGTCTTCGTTACCTGATATCTTATAATCTGGATCTTGGTCTGAATTATCACAATCAAGATCTTCTGAATTTTCACTGAGAATGTCACAAAATGTTTCTTCATTTACAGTGCCCTCTTCGTACATATCCGATTCATAGCTCATATCAGAATTACGCTGTTCAACTTGTTCATTCAGTATCAACTCTATGGATGCTATTGAATTCTGTTGTATTTCAGATGTTGAAGTAGTTTGCAGTTTATTTTCAGTTCTCTTGTATTTCAGATGTTGAAGTAGTTTGCAGTTGATTTTCAGTTCTCTTTTCAGGTTGATTTGTAATTCTCTTTTCTCGTTGATTTGTAATTCTCTTTTCAGATTGGGGCTGTGTTCTCTTTTCACGTTTATTTATTATTATCTTTTCAGATTCGGTTTGTGTTCTCTTTTCAGGTTGATTTATGATTAACGTTTCAGGTTGGGTTTGTGTTTTCTATTCAAGTTGGGTTTGTGTTCTCTTTTCAGGTTGATTTACGATTATCTTTTCAGGTTGGGTTTGAGTTCTCTATTCAGGTTGATTTATGATTATCTTTTCAGGTTGGGTTTGAGTTCTCCTTTCAGACTGATTTATGAATATCTTTTCGGGTTGGGTTTGTGTTTTCTTTTCAGACTGAGTTTGATTTCTCCTTTCAGGTTGATTAATGATTACCTTTTCAGGTTCGGTTTGTTTTCTCTTTTCAGGTCCGTTTTGAGTTCTCCTTTCGGGTTCACTTTGAGCTTTTGTTTCAGGTTGATTTATGATTATGTTCTCCGGTTCTGTTTATGTTTTCTTTTCAGGTTGGCTTTGTGTTCTTTTTTCAGGACAGAGTTAAGGTTCTGTTTCAGGTTGATTAACTATTCTCTTTCCAGGTCCAGGTTCCGTCACAGTTCTCTTTTCAGGTTCATTTTCGTGTTTCTTCTGAGTTTTGGTTATCGTTTGTTGCACATTGAAAATTTTATCCTCAACTACAGTTACGATTTTTCTTGTATATTGGGTCTACAGTTTTATTTTCGCGTTCATTTAAGATATTTGTCGCGGTTTTCAGTCCTGTTTCATTTGTGGACTTTTTTGGGGGGACGTTCCTCTGTTTGTTTCTGTCGAAACATTTCATTTCAGACCCCGCTGTTTGATTATTAGTCTTATTAAATGACATCGGGATATTTTTAAAAACAGTTTCCATTTGCAGAAGCAAAACATCGTAACTTCACTATGTCTTTCTTCACCCTTTATTTCCAAAATGTTGTAACTTTACATTTGGCAATAAATGACACATTAAAAAGTTTAGCACAGTTAAAACACCATCAGAATGGATTTTCATCAACGTTAGGGTGGCCCACGCACCTACAGAAATACAGTCCACCGCTGATAGTTCGAGACTACCACTGAAGCGTGCACATTCGCCGTGTCGAGGCCAACTTTCTGACAGTATGATACTATAAATAGCCATGGCACGTGCAATTCTCTACAAATCTATCAACTATTACAGCCGTAAAAAAATTATTGTTGACGATTTTGAATAGCAGTGAAATTAAGCTTCTTGGTTATTACAGCAGATTTAGAAATTACGTTCGTTTCATTTTTTAAATCGCTTTATCATTAACTGTACCGTTAAGAGCGGCATCTTTTGGTTTAGTACAAATAATATCTCAGAAACACTCGGATTAGACAGGAACATGATACTAGCAGTAGTTTCATTTTACTTTTACAAGCTTCTTAAAACAATTGTTGAGCTAGCTAACGTGCTCATTTCTAAATTCAATTTCTTGTTCTAGCTTTCTGTTATGTTTCGTAAAAAAGTAGTCTTGATTATCCCGACCTGTCAATCAGCCCTAGAATGGTCGATAGACTGGTTAAGCGAGACTAATTTCAAAACAAGGGCACGTAACCTATCTTTTACTC